AATTTAACAAGATACAATAACACATATGCTGATGACAAATTACTGATGAATTCTATAATTTAATTTTTTATTAGCATCCAACATTCCATACGACACCCTCCCGTGACACCGTGACACCCTCAAACTTTACGATGCATCAAGCGGCGAGGCAAGGGGCGGGGGCTCTTTCTTCCTCCTCTTCTCCTCTTTGGTTCTGTCTCATTTCACAAGCGAAAACGAAAACGAAAAAGGGCAAAACAAAATACGACTCAATTACAAACAGACATCTCAGGTATGACCTGACAGGGATCACAGCTAGCTTCAGAAGCGCGCGTTCTCGAAGCCGTGCAGGTCGCTGACCCGGTTCATGGACTTGCGCATGATGGCCACCTTGGCCAGCTGCTCTGCCGCGCGCCACGCCGACGTGGGCGTAAGTGGCTCCCCGGCCCCGCCCCCTCCAGGACCGGCTGACCCACGCGGGGTCCCCACGGGCGTCGTCGTGTCCCCGTCTCCCCTCCTCCTGCCGCTCCTCGACGTCGGCGTCAGTGCCTCTTGCTGCTGGTACTGATGCTGGTTGGCGCGCCGCCACCGCATGTCGCTCAGCTCCGTGTCCAGGCTGCCCACCAGCTCCTGCTGCTGCTGCGTCGGCGGCGACTGCAGCACCAGCGCCCGCGCCGACGACAGCAGGTGGATCGCCGTCGCCAGGTCCTGCAGCTCCGCCAGCCGCCGCGACTCCGCCACGGCGCGCGTCGCCACGAACAGGTCGTGCAGCCGCCGCGACAACGACGACGACGCCCGCTCGCCCTGGAGCGGGGGCAGCAGCAGCGGCTGCTCCGCGCCGCGGACCGTCTCCTGCGACGACGGGTCGCGGTAGCTGCAACGCACCGACAGCGAGTGCGGGTGGCTGCCCAGCGGCGCGCGCACCTCCACTAGCAGTTCCCGCTCTTCCTCCGCGTACATCTCGCCCAGCCGCACGCTCACCCCCGCGCCGCCGCTGCCGGAGACCGCCACGGCCTGCTGCCCGGGCCCGCACGAGTACACCGCCGTGATCTCCCCCGTCGGGAACGCCAGCTCCAGGTGCACCTCCTGCATCACCACGCTCACCAGCCCGCCCAGGCACTTGGCGAACGCGTGCTCCACGGGAGGCTCAGAGTGCTTCACCTCGGACTCGGACACGAGAGGCGGCGCGTCGCCGGGGCCGATGGGGATCTCCACGTGGGTGAAGCGCGTTGCTGGGACCACGGCTGGCCGCCCAAACTGCTTCCTCGTCGAATTTTCCGGCGCCAGCGGCGGCGCCTGCTGCTGCTGTTGCTGCGTGTCGGAGAGCAGCATGACGGTGGCCACGGGGTTGCGGTTGCGCCGGTCCTCGAGGACCTTGGTGGCCTTCCGCAGCGCGTCGCCCACACACGCGCTCTGCTGCGCCTGCTCCTGCCCTGCGTGGCCGTGGCCGTGGTCGCGGCGGCGGCGCAGACGACGAGGCGGTCGACGATCTGCCGCGCGGACTGCTGGCCCGTCCTGGTCATCCGGCGCAGCGGCAGCAGGCGCTTGGCGGCGCCGGAGAACGCGACGATGGAGAGGCGGTCGGCGGGGCCGAGGAGGCGACGACGAGGCGCATCCGCGCTTGAGCATCTGCAGCTTCTCGCCCATCATGCCCTGGCTGACGTCCAGCACGGTGACCAGGTCGATAGGCGCGCGCCGCGGGGCCGCCGACGAGGAGCGCAGCCCGGGCGCCTTGACCTTGACGGCCACCACGTACTTGCCGTGGCGCCGGCCCGAGGACACGAGCGCGGCCTCGGGCGCCACGGTGACGGCCAGGCCGACGTGGTGCTGGGCCGCGGGAAGAAGCCCCTGAACTCGGCAGCGCCCTGCTCCTCGTCGTCGTCCTCGTCGGCCTCCGGGATCGGGTTGAAGCCGCCGCCGTTGGCCGCGGCCTTGGCGCCAGCAGCGGCTCGTCGTCGTCGTAGAGCTTGGGGCCACCACCACCGGTAGCGGCGGCGGAGGCGGGCGGCGGCGTCTTGCGGCCGTCGCCGCCGCCGCCTCGGTGTTTGCTCTGCGCGTCTTCGTGGAAGGAGCAGTGAAGGCGGAGGGAGGCGAGGAACGGCGCCTGGCGCCACGGCGAGGCGCAGACGGGCAGGACAGGACGCCGTTGGCGGAGGAGGAGGCGCGCGCGGGCGGCGATGCAGGGGAAGTGGAAGGCGTGGGAGCACTCGGCCGTGAACACCGCCGAGCTGCCGCCGCTCTTGACGCCGCGCGAGCACACGCCACACCGGGACTGCACACAGGCACAAAGAGAGAGAGAGCAACCATCAGCAGCTGACAAATGCACGCACGCATTCTGCAAGAAAAGACAGAGAACGATGAACAAACAAAAAGAAAACAAAAGAAATTTGGGTGATTTCTTTCCCTTCGCTTCCCTTACCAAAGAAACGTCTCGTTTAGATTGGGGTTAGGGATCAATATTTAGCGGTAGCATTTTATTTATATTTAACAATTATTATCAATCAATGGTCTAACCCAGCTTAAAAAGATTAAGCCTCCTAATTTATAATTAATTATTTTTTATTTATATTTAATATTTCATGTATATGTCTAAAGATTTGACGTGACGAAGAGAAAGTGAAAAAACTTTGCAATCTAAACGAGGCCAAAGAAAGAAAAGAGCAAGCGTTGGGACGAGGGAAAAGATGACTTTTTGGGCGCTAGCAGTAGGATCATTTGGAGCACTCAAATCAAAATCTCCATCTTGGACGAGTAAAAGCTGCTGTGATCTGATTGGATCCATCTTTTTGTGCTCTAGGCTCCACCTTCTCCTCCCACGGACACACACACCTTCTCTAAAAGAACAGAAAAGCAGGGGATTTGCATCCTGCTGTGCTGCTGCTGCTAGCACTACTCAGGCTGTGTTTAGTTAAAGGGAAAGTTGGAATTTGAGTCCTGTACTACTTTCATTTTTATTTAGTAAATAGTGCTCAATCATGGACTAATTAGGCTCAAAACGTTCCTCTCGTGATTTCCAACCAAACTGTACAATTAGTTTTTTTTCGTCTACATTTAATGCTCCATACACGTATCGCATGATTCAATATGATGATATTGTAGCACTTTTTTGGAACTTTTTTTCAACTAAAAAAGGCCTAAAAAGTGTAGTACAATACTGCTACAGAGGTCCTCAATCCTAAAAGGTGTTGTTGTAGCAGTACGGTTTTCTTTTCTTTTTGGACGGATAATGGCAAGAGATGCATGAGATCCAGAATGAGAATCAAGAAAGGGAGAGGAAAAGGCTGGATGGGAGGATCTCTGCTGAATGCTGCTTGGTAATCTAGGGGCATGGCAGTCTATCCAGGGAAAACGCATTGCAATCAGGGGGATTGGGATGGGAGGAAAACAAAAACAAACGAGTGGCCTGATTGGAAAAAGCTGCTCCTTCTGCTGCTGCTGTGAGTGACGACGACGACGACGACGACGATGATATAATAATAATAATAATTGCTCAATCATCACAAGTTGGAGAGGAAGAATCTCAAGGAGGAAGAAAGGTGGATTAGGACAAAACAGGTGAGGGTGGTGGCAATCGTTGCTGGCTGGTTTCTTCTTCTTTCTTTCTAGAGAGAAGGGAAGAGAGATGGGGATCACCAATCACGAGCGGCCAGGGCAAAAGACAAGCTCCATTGCTGATAGATTAAGTTAGTATTATACTAGGACAACCATGGTGGAGTGCATTCGATTCAGTTTTCTTCGTCGGCTGGCTTTGCTTTGCTTGCGCCGCTGAAGAAGAGCAAGCAAGGGTCAACCAAATCAGAAGAGACGAGAACGAATCGATCCATCTTTTTTTTTTCCTTTCCATCCCCATCATTGTAGTTCAGTTCAGTTCAGTTCTTGGATCAAGCCAAGAGGACGGAAAGAAAGAAAAACGTGAAATGTGAGAGATGGTGTACACAGTACCGTACCTTGGACGGGAGCAGCGACGCCTTGAGCAGCGCGAATCTGGAAGGGGATCTGGGCGAGGGCGGCGCCGACAGCGCCTGGAAGAGCGGCACGCGGTGCTTCCGCGCGGGCGCCGGCGCGGAGGGCGGCGGCGTCACGGGGGCGGGGTCCGCCGGCTGCTGCAGCGGCCTGGTGCGGCAGCGGAGGGTGGGCGTGGACGGGTTGCTGCCGCTCTTGACGGCGGAGAAGAAGCCGCCGCCGCTGGTGCTGCGTGGGCTGGGCGCGTCGTGCTGCGGCCGGCGCTTCTTGTTCTTGGCGTCGCGGTCATCCCGGTCGTCGTCCCACTGGACCGACGTGCACAGCGCCCTCCGCCACCCTGTCCCCATCCTTCTCTTCCTCGTTCTTGGTTGGTCAGGCCAAAGACCCCCAAGAAGCAGCGAAGCCGAGGTGGAACGGAAGAAGGGTGGAAGGAAGGTGGCGAGCTGCAACTGGTGGCGCTCGCGCTGATGCTGCTGATAATAATACCACTACGCAGGAGGATGAGAGGGAGAGCATCAATCACATGGGAATGGCATGGCAACGGAATCCCGGGTCGGAGGAGAGGAGCCTGCTCTCTCTGTCTCAGCAGCAGCAGCAGCTGGAGGAGCACTCGTACTCTGCTTGGTGCTGTGTGTGCAACTAGCGAAGAAGAACTGGTGCGACGACGACGACGACGACTCGGTCTGCCATTATTTATGTACATATGTAGGAGTATGCCCTCCTCCCCACTCCGCAAGCAGCTGCCTTGCAATTATTTCGGAGATAGCGAAGCGGAGGGCGCCGATGCAGCTGCTGTATCTCTCTCTCAACCTACCCGGGTGCGGGCGGGTCCCCCAAGCTGATCGTCGTATCATCATGCCCTCCATCATTTGATTATTATATTCACTCACAAATCCATGTCTCGCTCCTCCCGATATCTTCTCCTCCGGGCTCTATTGTTATTGGTAACCCAAACCGATCATCGCAGACTTCGAGAATTGCATTGCAGCTTCAAGATTTCCCACTAGCAACAGCATAGTAGGATAAACCAACCAAAACCAAAGCAGGACGATATTTCTAGAGAGTACTGGCAGGAGCGGAGCAGGGAACTCAAGATACCGGAAAAGATGGACATTTCAGGCTTTACATACAACAGGCCTCATCTATATGCCGTTGCTCTAATTTCGTGATCGATGTTAAAAAGTGCCTATAGGAAAACAGATTAGTACGATCTACTCAGTCCGCCCTTTAAACGTATTTGATTAGAGAAAAGTCATAAAATACATGATCTGTTCCTTCAATTTGCAAGGACGTGTCTTCTCGATTCTCAAACTTTCAAACGCCTATTCCAAACCTCCAATATCTCTTCAGGTCAACAGTAGTCCAAACCGCATGCTAACATGTGGAGCCCACGTGTCATCTCCATATGCCTCCTCTTTATTCTCTCTCTCTCTCCGGAGCCCTCTCTCCTATATCCTATCTCTCTTCTCTCACAAACTCATTGAGGGGTGCGTGGTGTGAGGCGGGGACAAGGGTGTCGTGCGTAGATGGGGGGTTGGCGTGGGATGGGGCGTAGCAATACCGGACGGTGCGGGCATTAGTAGGGGCCGAGGCGGTGATGACAACAGAGGCGGCATGTGACGCATGCGGTGGCAACAATGACGGTGGGCTGTGCCACGAGCTAGGGCTCAAGCGAGGAGGTCGGGTGGCTTGGCATGGCTCGGCTAGGGTTTCCGAGAGACGCAACCATGGCACCGATGGAGATGACCTTGCCGGAGTACCATCGGGACACACGAGCAAGATTGTGGCAACAACGAGCATCGAGAACAAGATAAGCGTCGACGCCTCACGTGGTTCGGCTTGACCGCTGTCATCGTCGGCGTGGAGATGACACACCCTTAAAAAGTTTAAGGATCGGCTATGGACTAGCTTACTCGACAAAATGTATTTTGACTCTTAATTTCTGGTACAATATATTGATGTTTGCTAAAGAATTAGATATCACCTTAGAGTCACCTTGAACACAAATCTATTGATTTGAGTTTTTTTGTCCAAAACTTGTATATAATTTGAATAATTATTGATCAAAGTTTGTAAGATTTGGCCTCATGATTACTCAACCTACGAACTACTAGCGAGGATATTATGTAGTGCTTAGATCTAAATTTTTAAGACGAACTGAGAATAAGAAAGAAAAAAAACCCATCAAGTAGCATATATAAAGGATTGCACAACCAAGGAATCAGTACAAGGAGGTGCTCTGTATTTTTAGGAGGAATGCACATTTTAAGATACTGCAATGTACATTTTTACCGGATGCCCATCTTTGTGTAGCCATGTGACAAGTAGAGAGGTGGTGAGATGTGACACCATGTGTATATTATATATCTACAGTATGTGTGTCGGTCAACTCTCAACCACCGCTAGTGGCTTCATAAAAGAATCTCTCTCAGTTTATGAAAAGAAGTGATTTGATGTTAATTACGATGAAGCAGAGGGATAAAACCATGGTTTCCGTTAATTTCTTCAGACGACGTTTTTATTATTTTCTCTAGTCTAGGAAGTAACAGTCCATTCTTCTGGTCATAATGATTTCGTTTAGTTTTTTTTCCCCAGCAGAGCAACTGCTCAGCTTGCGGCGGCGGCGTGGTCGTGTGCAGGGAGAGGGACGATGAGGCCATGAGAGCGAGAATCCCTGTGGCGTGCCCGGTGTGCCCCTGGCTGGCTGCAGCAGCCATCTCATCAGCCATCAGGTCGTGGTCGACGTCGACCTACTATATACGGGGGCTTCCACGTATGGGATGGTTGGTCGGCACAAATGGATGGATGTGGCCGGAGCCATCGGCCATCGCATCGCAACCATGGTGTGGGTGACTTGCCATCTATCGCCCGTGGCCTGCTCGATGAGCTCGCATCAACCAACAGCGTGTGTGCCTCCCCAGCTAATGACATTCACGCCAGCCTGCTGCCGCTACTGCCTAGCGGTACGTATTTCCTCCTTGAGCTCATGCAGCTTAGCTTAGCTTGCTGCACTTTTGGAATACCTCCTCCTAGTCCTAACTACTCCCAGTTCATGTTCACATCCCCTTTTATTTTTTTATATATAATAATAAATACACATGATGCTTTTACGTACATTATATTTCTATATTGGTTCTTGTGAATTTTCTATCAAATGTGTGTGTATACATGACACAAATTAGTAGCTTCTACTTCATCCATCCACGGATCCACCAAAGAATAATTGCACTTCTATGATTCAAATTATATCCTAAAATCGATGCTCGTATAAGAGTCAAAGACTTGCATCAGCACCCATCGGTAGGCTTGCCAGATTCTAGCACTAGGGTTCTAGACACAAGTTCGTCCGCCTATCACCACAGGTGTCAGACCCTTTTCTATAGGGACAACAGTGTAATTTTTCACCTACACTAGTCCCCCCCCACACACACACACACACACACAAAAAAAGTCATAGCTAGGCGCATGCTTATTATGGGACAACAAAGGCAATAGATATATAGGGTGTTTGACTCATAGACTTACCTTACTTTGTGCGCCTTGCTAGGCACGCAGATCATTGCCAAACTAGGTAAGCAAAATTGGCTCTCCTATTCCTTAATAATGGATAAAAAGGCTCTCCAGCCCACAATAGAAGATGAAACTTTGCATATCAAAATGTATGGCTTCCACCATTCATATCTATGCTCGATAAGGATAGATAGTGCCTAGCAAAGCAACCAAGCACCCCCCCCACACACACACACTTTAATGTTAAAAAAAATAAGATTCACATGTTGTTAAATAAAAGACTTACAAGTATGGTAAGTATAATGAACCCTAACATTAGTTTTCCAAAATTTAAGAGAAAATATAACCGATTCAATCAATTGAAATAGAAGTTAAATGTATAGGTATTTTAGCTTGAATTCCCACTTGGAAACCCTTTATTCTTGCTTCCGTAAAATGAGAGACAATGCATTTTTTAGAATAAAAAATGCGAATAAGAAAGTTCACAAACTGATCTTTCTTTTACAAAAGAAATGGGATAATTTCTTACTCGAGTAATATAGCTACACTAATGGAAAAAGCCCGTTTTATTCTTCCGATTTTGGACTAGAATTTTGCCTATATAGTATGGAATAAACAAAAAGTATATATGGACCTACATATTCCAAATAAAAGCTTCTGAATTGGAAACCAATGCAAGATCCCTTATCTTTTTTTCCTCCATGACGCAAGCTTATTATATTTATTATATGGAAAATTGATCCACCATTAACATTTTAGTGCAAATTGCGGTTGCATGCATGATGTGTTGCCGTGGCCGTGCACATGGTGATGGTCTGATGGATCGGCTTGGCTTTGAATTCGGGAGTTGTAGCCCCTGGCCCCTTGCAGTTGCTGGTGGCCGGCGTTGCAATGAAAATGCATGCATGCATGGCCCCGGCCGGTGGATCGGAGCAGCAGTTGCAGTTGCAGTTGCAGACGAACCAACGAATCAACGATCCATCATCTATCACCTATCCATCAACCATGTTCTATGCTATCGGCTTGTGAGCTGCTGGGGCCATCCATGCATCATCTCTCTCTCTCCCCCCCTCTCCTGCCATGTTTATCATATATCACTGTGACAAAAACTAGTACTAGTAGTACTGGCTACGACGTGCATGGTAGCTTGGTTTGACGTTGGCGTTTGGATGGATTCGCCGGAGTTGGACGGGTCGATCCGTCCACCACATGCGGCATGTGTGCTGATGAATCTGAATGATTGGTTAGGCACGCAGCAAGTGCAGCGGCAGCAACAACAGAAACTGTGCAGCGCCACCCGGACTCCGATAGATGACCGTACAGTCCAGTCCAAGCGTGTGTGTCGTGATAAAGCCCCCAAAAGTGAACTTCAGCATTCCGTAGTGGAACTCAACCTGCCCAACTTTAGACTGAACTGCCCAATTAGTAGTTGAAAAACGAGTAGTATAAAGCAGGCAAGGAAGGAGCGCTAATAAGGAGAAAATGCAGATGAGCAATCATAAAAAAAAGGATAACCTTATTAACATAACATTTTTAGAGTGGAATTCACCGTTGCTCCTTACACTAGCTTGTTATGCATCCTCCATCAAAGTCAACAAACTCTCAAAATGCATATTAAAGATATGAAACGGACTAAGAACATGTTTGATTTGGGGGGGGGGGGGGGGGACAGGAGTGAAAGACTGTTTAGTTTGGAGAAGCAGCATAGGTGAGATGGAAATCGTCCTCAAAAGAAAATATTCCCATATGCATGAATCTATCTCGCCATTCAAAACCCGAGGTATCATCGCATCCCCTCCTGATGTTTCTTGAATCCGTTATGTGCATGAGTCCTTCC